TAGTTAAAGGCAAGATTTTCTTTAGTGTTTTGCTACCACATGGACAAAGAAGAGGCTGAGTAGTCTATGAGAGAGGATCCTACCCTCTGTGCTCTAGGTTGGACAAGTGGTAAGCATGTCTTTCCAAAAGCAAAGGTTTTGCTTGGCTTCTGTTTTCAGGGATGACTCAATGGGTGAATTGGCTTCATTGTGTTACCAGGGACCCCAGAACGCAAACCCCATGTCCTCTTCAGCCTGTGTCATGTTAAATAAGCACAGGTTGTCCCAGATAACCCTTTTTCGTAGATGAAGGGTGAGCAGTCTTTGGAGGGCAGAGGAGTGGAGGAGAATGTCCTGTGCTACTGCTGTAGCTAGGGAGTACATCCCACTGGAATAAAGGTTTAAAGGAATCAGCTGGAGATCTCAGAGTTACTCAAGCCTTAATCTGCTCCTCTCATTTTCCGCCAAAATATGCAGGCATACAGTGACCACAGAGCAGACAGTGATAAGTGGTTACTCCAGAGAAATCATGTCACTTTGAATGATCATGTCATATGTCAAATTAACAGGTTACGGTTGAAGTGTAGGGATATATCTCAATCTACCTTTTTTTTTTTTTTTTTTACACACTTACAAAAAGGTAAAATTAATTCAAATTAATTATGGCTATGGGATGTGTACTTGCAAAGCCTACTTGTTTGATTTATTTTTTGTTTGTTTAATTTTTGGAAATAATTGAAATATTGTACATCTTAACTGAGTACAAAGTTTGGGAACGTTCCTGTTGCATGTGAACTGCATTTTTTAACTGTAAGAGTTTAATTGGCCCCTATGACTTTAAAGATGCTCAGTTGTTTCCTTGGTGATGTTAACATACACAGGTATAGTGCAAATCGATTAAAGCAATATTAGTTTGCTATTGGGCTTCAATGAGGATACTGACCAGGGAGCCTGCAAATGATGAGCAGAGCAGAACAAAGTGTTCTGGTATTCACTGATATCTCAGAATGCTAATTGATGAGATTTCTCTTTCTTTTACATTAATAGCGTCATCATCAACTGGAAATAAAAAGGAGACTTGAAAATTTTGTGAGGAAGGAAAGGGTGCAAAAAATCAAGGTAAGGGATAAATGGTACTGAGTAGTGGTGGGACATGGCAGTCCTGCTGTGCTAAACAGCAGCTGAGATGAGTCAGGCCAGAGATTCACTGGGCCAAATATCCTGCTTCCAACAGTGGCAGATGCTTATGGAATTGGTACAATTAATAGCAAGGAGAGAATGACCCTGCCCCAGGATACATTCCTCCTTCCATCATCCAGCAATTCAGGGACTTCCATGAATGTGTCTGATTTCTTTCAAACCAGACTTCTGATTCTGCAGTGTTCTTGGCTGTGCAATTTAATTATGAGTTGTGTGAAACAGTACTTCCTTGCATTCTGCACATGAATTCATTTATCTTCTAATAATGCTGTTGGATATTTCCTTGTTTGTATTTTGAAGAAGTTATTAATTGTTCCTCCTTTCCAAGGCATTCATGTTTTTAAGGACCTTTATCATAATTCTCAGTTTTCCAAGCTGGAGAGCCCCAGTCTACTGAATTTTTCATGCTTGAGCCATTCTGGATTTCTCATTACTGTTGCCATTTTTTCTATTTTTGCTAGCTGTACTATTTCTCTTTTGAAATGAGGAACCAGGAACAGATGAATAATTTAAGATATGTGTGGCAGCTCTTCTAGTAATTTGAGACACTATTTGCTTGTGACTGCTTTGGAGCATTGAGCTCATACTTCAGTTGCTTGCCTCACCACGTGTTTTTTAGCAGAAGCAGCATGTAAATAACAAAATGCAGCTTTGGAAATCTTCACTTCGGTGTTGCATAGTCAAAGCCTTGGTCATGGAAATCCCACCGAAGTCAATGGCTCTCCCAGTTAAATCACTTGGACTCGTGTTGGAAAAACTGTTCTCATCTTGGCTGACATACCCTCCACATCTTGTTTCTTTATTAGGAGTCTGCACACACTAAAAAGAGTGTACAGAGAAGGTAGTTACTTCTTTGTGCAGTTGCAAAAAGTGTCTTTTTTCAGTTTAAAATAATATAATTATGAGCAATTATCAAGAAATGAAAGGAGAAAATTTTCAGGAAAACCCTGATCACTGTGGTAATTGCAAGAACATTCTGCTGCTAGAAAGTCCCCACAGAGAAGTAGCGCAGTTCTGTGGGGAAGGAGCATGGCCAAGGCATCTGTCTGCCACAGGATTCTAGACTTGGGTGATTTTGGAACGTAAACCAAGACTGTTTGCTTCAGTGAGCAGTGTAGGGTGGACACCTGAGACACCTGTACATCTGTATGCTGTATCTTTGGAGCGGTGCTACACTGCAACACAGGAAGCTGCCCGACATTAGCAGAAGAATTTGATTCTAACCTCGTATGTTCAGTGCATTTGACTGAATAGCCAGTCTAAAAGGAAAGGACAGATAACTGAGTGAGGGAGGAGGAGACATAGATAGCTATTTCCAGGATAGTCACCCCACTCTGGAGCTTTTGAGAACGGGGAAAAAGATGGTAGAGGGGGCAGCAGTCAAGGCAAGGAAGGGAGCAACAGAGGAGATCCTCTAATTTTTTAGAAAAGAGACTTTCAGTCAGACCAAGAATTGGGAGAAGCATAGAGAGAAGGGCATGTGAACTGGGCTGGGGCGGGGACTGGGGCTGGAGAGAGCTGTGGATAAAGAAATTAGAGAAGGAACAAGACTTTTCCCCTTCTACTGTCCTCTCCTTCCCTTGATTTCCTTTTGGTGCTGTTTGTTTTGGGTCTCCACTTTGCAGAATGGTTACCCTGCTGTTCCCTCAGGTCTAAGCAAGCTGCTTGTTATCTGGGGCTGTCCTATGACAGCCAGGCAGAAGACAGCTCAAACATTGCTGTTAGAGTATTGAGTAACTCAGAGGTATAATTCTCTGTTCTTTCAGGTGGAACAATCCAGAAGGTCTGTGGAAGGTGCTAACCTTATACTTTCCCCACATCCACCACTTGGTCCAAGAAGTCATTATGGGCTATTTCCCTTAGTGGCTGCAGAACGAGCTAGTCCTTCACAGCTGGTGAGTCCACCAAATACTCTGTGTGCTATAATGTAAACACAGTCCAGACTGGTGCCTCATCCAGCATCACTTGAGGCTAATTTTCTGTTTGCAGGATTGTGTCATTGCAAAGTAAGCTGGAGAACTGATGTTGCACATGAAAACTTAGAAGAAAAAATAGTTTTACTTTGTGATAAACCTGCTTTAATCTTCCTCTCTTCTACCTGTCGTGTCACCTAAGGCTAGGTCTGGATCAGCACACTAAATGTTGTCAGCACATACTGTGGCCGTGGACAAGTTTATGCATGTAAAATTTTGAAATAATGGAGATCTTTTCAAAAGGGGAGGAGTGAATGAAGGGATGAAGTAAAACTAAGTGTTGTGGTAGAAGGTTGTTCTTTGGGGTTCTTGTGACTCAGAAGGGTCTTACTCTCATCGTAAAAGGGCAGAGAAAGAACATTAACAAACTTTAGAAATATAATGAAGACGAAGTCTAATATCAAAGGCAAAATATGTAATCTCTTTCAAACTGGCTCAACATTCCAATAAATGCTAATTGATGCAAATTGATGCAATGCTTCCAGTTCTGAATTACTTTCTCCTCCTAACACCATACAGAGAGCACAGGGACCTCTAGTTGATCTTAACACTGGACATCCTTATCATCAGAATCAACACAGGGAGTGTGTATTTTTGGGAATGGTGAGTTAATTTTTATGTATTTATTTTTAAGTTAAGTGCTGAGTACTGAACAGACATGCTTTCCTTGTGTATTCTCGCAGCATCCATGAGCTGAAGCCCTAGCGCAGAGCACGTTGCTATAGTCGCTGAGTTTGCTGAGCTTCATTCAGGGCTGCACTGTGAGCAGATAGCAAAAAAAGCTAGATTTATGGCCAAGAGACTTTCTGGACACTCCAGCTTTTGGATTCTCACTTAGATATGTTTGTAGGGTCTGTTTTTTCAGATGCAGAAGGTACGGTAACATTAAGTTTCGTAAAGGTACCGCAGAATCACTAATGTCTTCTGAAAGTCCTGATCAGTTTTCTGCCTTATGGTGCTGCTATGCACTGGAAACTGCATGGTGAATCTCTGGCTTTTTCTAGGCTGCTGCTTCTCGGCCGAACACTGCTCCGGGGAATCTGCAGGCCCCGCTGCAGCGCCAGCCCCTTCGCAGCGGCGCTGCCGCAGCGGCTCTGCGCAAGACCTCGGCCTTGAGGCAGAGGAGCCCCACGCTTGAAAGCGATCAGCGGTTTGCCAGTGGGGTGAGGATGTATTTCACTCTGAAAATGAAATAACTTTAAGAACAGGTTTATAGTACAACTTATTGTTGCAGTTCTGAGAATTGTGAATCATAATTTATCATCAGCTTTTATTTAAATCCTTCCTTTTAACCTCCCCTCATTTTTCAAGATATTGTCTTTGTCTAAGGGTCTAATGTCCAGTCTTTGATCAGAGTCATGGAAAATATTCTGACTTCGTTTGTAGGGTAAAATCTGTGTATGTGTAAAGTCTCTCTCTACACAGATTTTTCTGTCATGCAGAGAGAGGGAAGCAGCCAATTGGTTAATACTAATATGTCAAAAAGGAGTCTTGCAAATTTTCATCTTTATCTACAGATAAAACTCCTCCACAATTTTTTTCCTCTTATTGGGCCACTCGGGTTGGGGAACTCTGTCTGGAGTAATAAAAATGATCTTGATTTGTACTTAGTTACTTTCAGGAGAGATTTGGACTTGCCTTCTGTTTTCTAGAAAACACTGCATTAATTGGCTTTACATTAGAAGCCCCATGGCAGAGGACAGTTTTAGAGCGTGACTGTGATCTGCTGCTACGCACTGCCAGAATTTACATCCGTGTTCCCCTCCTGCTCTGCCTTTGCTCTGTATTGTGATGCTCACAATCATTTCCCCAGGAATCTGCTGTTATTATCTCTCTCAACTCTCAGATTATGGGTAATTTATATAATAAATTAATATAGCTATTGACAAAACAGCCAAATCAATTGTTGATTATGGAAAGATGATGCAGAGCTCAAATCCAGAGCATGCAGTGGCTGCAGAATTTCTTCACTGTACGCTGCACATTTCATTGCCTTGGTCCTCAGTTTGCCTTTCATTCTGATGGAGAACTAAACCTCCACTCCAAATGGAAAAGAAGCCTTTTGAAGTGCACCTTGTATAATTGGTGCCAGCTAATCTTACTACTGGAAGATCCTGGCTCATTTGGAATTTGCCTACCAACCAAGGGAGAGCAGCAGTGCTGTGGGATTGTGTGGCATTCTGCCAGCTTGCCAATAGCGCGTGGTTTATAGGATTACATGTGCCTGTAAGGGTGATGTTTGCAAGTAATCTCATCTTGGTTGCTCCAGTTGTGTTTGTTGCTGTGCAGATTAAAAGAAAGCATTTAAGAACAAAAATGGCTGCTGAAGTGGCAAGTTTAAATGTTTTTTTTTTTTTTCTTGACGTGTGTCTGTTACTAAATGCAAAGAACAGTCAAACTGCGGTTAGCTCAGTGTGCTCTGTAGCTCTGTTTGCACAATTTACTTAACCTGGTTAAAATGTGTTTTCAGGGGGAGAAGAGTCAGTTGAGACTTATGAACTCAGTAGAATACGTAACTGGTGTGTCCCCATATCGACTCCCCATCATTAACAATTATGTGATACCAGTGCCACCTCCCCCCCTGCAAACAGGAGACAGGAGTGTAAAAATCCTGAGAAATGGGATGCGCAGGAGAAGACGATTTCGTCCTACCACTGCACCAAATGACTTGGAACAACTTTTATCGAAGGTTGGTTATCTTCCTCTGTTTCTTCTCTTATGTGTAGGTGTATTGCCTTCTTCAAAGAAGAATATATGTAAATTATATATATATATATATAAAAATATATATATAAAATATATATATAAATAATGCTGAACTATGTAAATACATATTTTGCCTAAAGATTCATATAAATTTCCTTCATTTCAGAAATCTCAAACTATTAAAATATAGTTGCCATCCATTCCTCCATATACTAAAACATTTGGATTTTTTCATTAGTTAAAAAGAAAAGATGCTTGCACAAAAAGCCTTAGGAAGTCCCATTTGGACTTCCTCAGTTATTCCTCAGTTAAAGCTCTCCTTACCAGATCAGCCAGCATGCTGGCAAGAGGCTTAGTGAGGTGGATCCCATCTCTCCCAAGCAGATGGTGATCTTCAAACAGGGTTGTTTAAGTGAATGTCCTGTTAATATCTGCTGGTCATACTCACTGGGCTTGCTTAGAACCTATTTTGATAGGGAAGAGTTGCTTGTAGGCCCCTTCTTACTTCCTGACTCCCAGAGTTGTCATGAACTCATGCCCTGTTTGTGAGGAAGGCAGCTGAAGCCCAGGGGCTGAATTTGCCCCTGAAGGCTGTGGCCTGCTCTGTTCCTGTGGCACCCAGCCAGCATCACCCCTCCTTGGTGCCCCTGATCAGTAGTTGTACTTAGTGCTGCAGCTCTTCAAAATCAGGAGAGTGGAAAAAAAAGGCTGATTTGAGGCTAAAGATTTGCAATCATTTTTGATCTATTTGATACTCAAATGTTACTGAATGCAGTAAGCAATGAGGTAAATTAATACCTGCTAAATATGCTGCATGTATGTGGTCTTTGTGCTCACCTTTTGTTAGGAGTTGGGAGCTGTATGCATCTTTTTTGTGTATATTTCTGCTGCAGAGTTCTGGAAAATTCCACAAGCCCTCATTACGTAGCAATGCACTTGTTACCATGATCTTCCTAGGAAAAGGTGTGCGTTTATGTCATGACGATACTGATTTCAGAGATGAAATCAAAGTCTATCAGCAGCACTGTGGAGGAGAAAACCTATGTGTCTACAAAGGCAAGCTCTTGGAAGGAGGTAAGGAGAGAGAGTTGAAGAGCTTATCTTGAATCTGGCAACATCTTCTTTTATGGCTAATTAGATGGTGTGATATCAAAATGATTTTAGCTTAACTTGGCCAATTTATGGGCATCCAGGGACTTTTATACCAGTTGCCTCCAAACTAAATCCAGATTTACTGTTTCATAATTCAGAATGACATTGTAATTACTTTTGCAAATTATGGATGAGGGCATTTAAAGGAATGATTTCAGAAAATACAATGGGTTAGATTAATTTTAGAGATATATGGCTAATAAAATGTTTGCATTACAAACTATCCCTGAGTACAAGTTACTGTTCCTGGCTTGCTATAATACATCAGTGCATGCTGTTTATTATTCCTGAGGAAAAGAGAGGTTGGGAGCCCACTCCTCATCCCTTTTACATGAGTGTGGCTCCATCAGCTTCTGTAGAGCTACCCACACTGGTATAAATCATTGGTAAAAGAAGTCTGATCTTGGAAATAGGATCAGGAGAGTGGGAGGTGGCTGTATGATTTTCCTTTATAAAGAAGGTAATTGTTTAGATTAAACCTTGTTGCAGCTCACTGTGTTTGGCATTTGCATTCTCAGTGCGTAGGGAAAAGTGGTGCAGACGTCCCTGTGCTTTGGTCTGTCCCGCAGGGTTGTGGATGGACCACACTGTGCCCATAGGTCTCGTTCAAAGCGTTCCTTGCAGCTGCCCTCCCGCAGCAAGGGGAAGGTGTCCCTTGTGCTTACCCCGCTGTCCTGATCCCTTTTCACACCTATTTGGGAACACGCTGGCATGGAGTGTAGCTTCCTCTCTGCTTGTGTGCTCAGTTAGCTTTGGAGGGATACCAGAATTTGTGGGAAAAGGGAGTGCAACTGAGTTCTCTCCTTGTATGGAGCAGGGCAGCAGCCTCAGAGCCCTTTAGGCCTGGATGCTTAACAGGGCCTTTGCAGTGTAGCCTGGAATCGCTGCAGAGACTGTTCCAGCTGCTCAGTGCTGCCGTGAAGGCCGATTCGGCCGCCGATACTGCAGCCCTGCTGCTCTGGAAGACGATCGGCCCTCCCTGCCAGGCCACGGGCAGCAGGACAGGGAGCTGCAGGGGACCAGGGGGGCCTGTTCCACCGCGCCAGCCGCTTTGAGTTCACACGTGCACCCTGCGAGGCAAGTGACAGAGTCCAGGGCATTTGTGACAGGAGGTTCTGGGCTCTGTTGCTGCTGCAGCAAGGAAAAGCCAAAGCAGTAAAGTATTAGGTTGTCACGAATGTGTCCAGCTTGGCACTCCTGGGCTGGAAGGAGAAAAGGGCACTGTGCATGGAGGAGGCAAGAGTTTTACAGCCTGGTTAGTGCACCTGAGAACGAAAGGACCTGATCTCAGTGGAATAGGTGCTTTGGAGGTGATGCAGATGAGATGCAATAAATGCAATTGCCTGACACTGAAGCGTAACCTTTTTCTTTGAACACTTTCTTCATTTACAGAGACCTTTCAGTTCACCTCAAAAAGGCACCACGGTTTCCCATTCAGCCTCACCTTTTTTCTCAATGGGATGCAGGTGGACAGGTCGAGCTCTTGCTGTGAGTACAAACATCAGAAGCATTCCAGGCTGGGAGGCAGACATGGATATTTTGGTTTTCTCAATGTGGAGAGAGCGTCTCCTTGCTATAGGTATGGAGGCACAATGTACTTTGCTCACAAAGCTTTAGCAACACCATTTTTAGAGTGTTTACCATTTTCTTCTTTTTAAAATCTTTCTGGCACTCTGCTGTTCTGTTGAACCTGGTCTGTTTCTGGGCATCCCTTGAAGCATCTGCAGAGTGGGGTTTTTCATTCCAGTCTCACATCCAAGGATGCCACCGAAGTCAAATGACTTCTGTGCTGCTGCTGCTGCTGCTCTTCTGTGCAATAGGCGCAGGCATTTTGGACCACCAATATCTGCCTGTACCAAAGCAATTGAATTACTGAGCCTGTTGACAACCTGAAGAATCAACAGTAGAGTCATGAGAAATAGTGTAGGGTGGCATACATAGGCCACTTAAACGTTTCTGGTGGAAGTGATAGTGAAACAAATATTAAGAGTGTTGTTTTGTTAGCTGTATTTTTTCAGAGATTTCTTTATGGAAAACCAGATTTTTTTGCTTGTTTTCTAATAGTTCTGGTGCTCAGGTAGGTGGAGGGTATCCCTGCCTGCAGTAACGTGTGTGAGCCATGTTTCAGGCAACAAATCTGAGAAGTAGAGTTCCATTCTCTTTTATGGAAAATGGTCAGTGCTGTTATCAACAGCTGCAGTTTTTGGTAAGACTTAATTTCAATAAAATCTTCCTATTGCATGGTTTCCAAAGACATGTTGGACAAGAAGATTTTTGTATCTATGGATAGTTTTAAAATTTGCTTATTCTTTTCCTCAAGTAATTTTTAAAATGGCAATAACCAGTTGGATGAAGATGGAGAGAAGAGAACCTCCTCAGAGCCATATTTATTTTTTAGAAAAAAAAAAGAATTCTGAGGAGAAAAAATCTGTTATCCTCTATCATATTTTTTCTACTTCAAGTTAGCATTAAACATTATATAAATGTATTGCTAAGTATTTTCTTAGTAGTGAAAAGCATCTGAATTCAGAATGTATATGGTAACTATAATGTTTGGGATGCCCAAATCTCAGCTTTTCTGCACTTATAGAAAGATCTAAAGTGCTACCTTATTCTGAATTAATATAGTCCCCAGAAATTGATTTCTGGTAATTACTGGCCAGATAGCCTGACACCTCCTGCCCTCCTATCTGATAGTTGTCTCTGTCCCGTCTCTTCGGTCCATCTGGTATTATCTACTGACAAAAAAAAATCTACTTCAACGAGATTCTCCCCATAAATAAAAGCTATTTTCACATGTTCTTCAGGTCCAATTAAACACAATAAGCTGTATTATAATTCCATATATACAATAAACTGCATTTATTTTCTGTTTTGAGTATGATTTCATAGCCACAGATTAAGCACCCAATTTCATTGTCAGCAGAGACCCAGGCTGATTTTTCCTTGGTAGGTTAGACTTTGATTCACAGCGCTGTGATACTGCAGTGATTTCTACGCAGATGCTGTGATCTCTGTGCAAAGAGTTTTCTGCTGGCCCACGTCCAGCATTTCTGCACCACAGAAATGTTTCAGTATCTGAAAGATAACTGAAAAAATACCAAAAACAAAAAATGGAAAGAGTAGGTCTCCTTTCAGAAATGTTACATTTTCAGTTTTGCAGGCACAAAAAGCAAGATTTCTAGACTGAATAATTATAGGACATTTCACAGTAGTTTGTAAACAGCTGCAGGGAAGAAGAGCGCACAGCAACTTAACACAGGAAAAGCAGTTTTGGGGAGGAAAAAATTCTTAGGCCTTTTCAGGCTGCTTCTCAAAATGAGAAGGCCCCTTTCAGTGTCCCTGTTGTCTCTGTGGTGAAGCTGAGGCCCAGGCTTGCTCCGCATTTCACCTCAGATAACGAGGGGAGCTGCTGACTGTGTCTGCAGCCCTCCCATTGCTCACTGAAACAAGTGTGGTGTTTTCCAGTTCTCGTTTTCTATTGTTTTGTAGGTGCATTATTGCAATGGGCCTGGACAAAAAGCCATCCCCTCCCAAGAAGAAGATGGACAAGGAGAGCAGTGAAAAGCAAGCAGGGTCTCTGGGAGCTGGAGTGCACAGGGAGCCGAGTGAAAGCTGTGCTGAGCAGACAACAGGCAAAGATCCAACGTTAGCCATTTCACCGGATCATGGAGCAAGTGTGGAACCTATGGAGGACAAAGGGGAGACAGGAGAGGAGTACAGAAGAGCAGAAATGAAAGAGCTGTCTGATCAAGAGACTGAAGATAGTCAGGAAGACACTGGTAAAAATGGTAAAGTATTCCAGAGCACAAACAGGGTGTGAAAAATGGGAGAGGAGAGTTAGGGAGAAGGTACAGGACTGTGGGCTTCCATTTTCGTTAGGAATTTATCCTTCCTTGGGGTACCTCATGTGAGAAATGGGGTGAAGACGACTCAGAGGCTGATGGCTGTTTCTAGTTTAAGCTTAGTGGGACTCAGTTAAGTGACAAGATGAGAGGATTTTGCAGGAGCCAAAAAGCATGTAACAAAAGAGGCTGAAACAGGAGCCTGAGGGAGTTGAAAAAACAGGAAGAAAGTGGGGCACAGTGGCAGGGCAGCTATGAGGAAGTAGATGGAGCAGGAGGAGCGAACGGGACTGCGTGTGTTGCTGCCTGAGCAGACTGAGTGTGAGGAGAGCTCCTGTGGGGCAGGAGGCCTCCGCACGCGGC